AGACAATAAGGAACAAAAATTCTCACAGGTATGCATATAGATTTTCAGATCCAAGTACTCATACAGCATTTCACTATAGTATAAGAGTGACTGATGTTAATCTCCGGACAGACTGCACATTCAGCTGATCTCAGGTACCCGAAACGATTCAGTAGACTATTCCAATGTTTAAAGCATAAACTACTGAACACCTTGCCACAGCAGCCTAACATTCAATTCTATGTCCTAGTAAGACCGCTCAGAGAATCAGTGTGAGGATCCCATGTTAGTGATGTTATTGAAATGCTTGGGGGTACAGCAGTGCGATTTAGATTTTATAGGATATTTGCGTAACTTCAAATAACTTATCTCTCGAAAATGCTCTATGTTACCCAGCCAGAAAGCGACATAAAAGTGCTATAAAAGTTTAGTGGATGCGATGACAACATGATGAAAAACCACCAAAAAAGGAAGAAAATTAAACCTGTTCATAAGATGGCGGTGGGTCCATCGGTTTTGTAATATTAGAAGATACATGAGGGTTGAAGACTGGTATCGTGTCAAGCCTTATAATGTAAGATGGCAAGACGCTTCTATCTGGCCTCAATACCAGCGCCGATTCGTTGCCAGCCTCGTTCAACAAATTCTCCTGAAACAAAGGCACACCGCTCAAATTCGCAGATAATCAGAACTTCCAAAAATAAGCGACCTGACCGGATTAGCTTCTTCGTAAATAATGTATACAGACGACCTATCTAAAATAAGGCAAAAAATCCCAAGTTTAAGTTTCATTCTATGTACAAAAGACTACAATTTTTGTTTGACGGAATGAAAATACTTTCTCAGAATACTTTCTTTGCCTGAATGAAAACACTTTCTCAGCAGCAGACATCAAGTGACAAGGCTATTAATGACGTCATTCCCAAACATTAACATTAAAAAATGCTAAAGTGTTCGAAAAACAAGAAATTTTAACAATTTAGATAATATGAACTGCTAATGAGAGGGAAGACCTGCAAGCGGAGATAACTTTCACTGCCTCTCGCATTTTCTCTTCTCACCTCTAATCCACGATGTCGACGAGCACCTGCATCTCCACACACTCCACTCTGCGCAGCGGTTCGCCGACGTCCTAGAAAAGACTCACAGAAATTAAACCTCAGATCCACGAAGATTTCAAAAATTATTAACAGTAGTGGAATTAAATAAAAAAATTTATGAATAACTGTCTGAAGAACATTAAAAAT